AAAAAAAAAAAAGGGTTGTTTCTCGACCGGTTTTTAAAGAAGGCCGGGGGGGGGGGGGATCAATGCAGTTTAGGAGGATGTCGACCAATTATCTTTTTAATAGATCCCCAGAGACACCACCCGGGGGTTTCTAATAATTATTCTGTTTAGACTAAGGCGATAACCGTCTAACCCGTCTCTATCAAATTGTGACTAATGTGACTAATGTGGTGAGGACAATTTTGAATTCAACTTAATCTATTTTCCAGTAGTTCGAACAGTCATTTTGTGCCTTGACGCTTATATTTTTCAGTAGTTTGTACGGACTTCTTACCTGGTTGTACGCACATCATTTCAGTAGTTTGTACGGACTTCTTACCTGGTTGTACGCACATCATTTCAGTAGTTTGTACGGACTTCTTACCTGGTTGTACGCACATCATTTCAGTAGTTTGTACGGACTTCTTACCTGCTTGTACGCACATATTTTTCAGTAGTTTGTACGGACTTCTTACCTGCTTGTACGCACATATTTTTCAGTAGTTTGTACGGACTTCTTACCTGCTTGTACGCACATCATTTCAGTAGTTTGTACGAGCTTACCTGTTGGTACGCACATATTTTTCAGTAGTTTGTACGGGCGTACGGACTCGTACGCACTTCATTGTGTTTTAATTTCACAAGACATGTAACAATATTGTGTCGATGGAACTTCTCATTTTGGTAAGGCTCAGGAAGTCGGTCGACATGTTTACGTGAGCACTGAACTTTTGCTGCGTTCTTTATCAAGCATTAGGCTACCAGACGCCCCGGTTTGACCGGGATTTATCCCGGTGGAACAGCCTCGTTCCCTGTGGCCCCACGTGTTTGAAATTTCATTCCGGTTTCAGTCTCAGTTTTTGGTAATAAAATGAGCGTGCCCTCCACATTTTTGTTTCGTCTTTCTTCGGGATTTCCGCTATTATGTGCTGTATGTTTTTAAAAAATAATATCTTAGAAAGAGTCTCGTTTTCATTGTTAATAGTAATATAGTAATATAGGTATCCAGATCGATATTTAACTAAGCTAAAATCATAGTATAGGCGATTTTGTGAAGACTGCCGAGTTCAAAGCTTGTACTCGGAAATGTGATTTTATTTATGGGAAAAGTCCACTTATCAATTTGAGTCTTTTTTTCAATATGATGTCTGAGCCAAATGTTGCGCCTGCAACCTCTGACCCGAACCCCTCCCCTTTTTCCCCCTTTTTTTTCATCATCTTTCGATATAAGTAATATACTAGAATTTCAATCTTCATTTAATCTTCTCATGACAAAAATAAATTTCGCATTACTAAGCTGTTCAGAGATTTTTGGACAAAAAAGAATAAAGACATTTCTTAGATGGAATATTCAAGGGAGACGCATGGCAGTGTAAGTTGTGTCTTGGTGAATTCCCGACGGAACACAAACAACACGTGCCATGTCAATAAACCTTTTCACATCCCAAACACTTTCCTCGGACAACCCCGATCTCCGGATTCAGGCTCTTCCCATGGCTCCGAAACGCGTTTCTCGCCCCTCCCCACCCTTTTTTTAAAAACAAAATTGCAGGAACACGTCTATCAAAAAATAATTAACAACATCCTACCATTTATGACAAAAAACATCGCATTGCAACAATAAGGATAGTTACAATTGTATGTGAAGTTCTTTGTAAGCTTTCCCTGGAGCTGGCTGGTGCAAAATCTCTGGACGGAGGGGGGGGGGTTGGGTCGTGTTGATAGCGAGGCCCTTGTAGTCACAGGCCATTGAAAAGCTTCATATTCAGTTCAAAGCTTTGCATTCAGGGCAAATTCATCAGAAGTCTCAAATAACCGTGTCTTTTTAATTTTCATAATTTTTAACTTTTGTTATTTTTAAATTTTACAAAATATAATCGTTATATTTTTGTACACATTTTGCTCTGGGAGGGGGCGCCTTGACTTTCCCCGGGGAGGGGGCACCTTGATTTTCCCCGGTGAGGGGGCGCCTTGACTTTCCCTGGGGAGGCCCGGGGCGCCTTGACTTTCCCAGGGGAGGGGGCACCTTGATTTTCCCCGGGGAGGGACACCTTGATTTTCCCCGGTGAGGGGGTGCCTTGACTTTCCCTGGGGAGGGAGCGCCTTTACTTTCCCAGGGGAGGGGGCCCCATGATTTTCCCAGGGGAGGGGGCACCTTGATTTTCCCAGGGGAGGCGTGTTGTTTGGCTTTTTTTTTATTCAAGAAGAAATTTTCTTCTACTCCGTTCAAAACTAATTAAAAATTTATTCTATATAACCTCGAGCAAAACAAACATTCCATTAAAGGACCCATTTAACTGCATATTCCTACAAAGGACATACAAAGAAAAATACCTTAAGTTTGAGCTGTACGATTCGGTTCTGGTCAAATGGAATCTTTGGACATTGATAACAGTTGTTTTTTTTATTTCTACATTGCAAATTAACGTTCACTTAATTTTCAGTACATTTGTTCAATCAAGATTTTAAGTTAACCCTGAAGCGCTCCTCACCAGCAGATCACAGCAGATCACAGCAGATCACAGCAGATCACAGCAGATCAGGACTTACTGCCAAGAAATGTTTTTTATCTATAGCCACATTATGATAGTGTTTCTGTAATTTCTGTAAGATAATAATAGGGCACTAATCCTTGTATAAACAGGATACCGTTTTCTAACTTTAACTAGATTCAGCTAAGAGCAGAAAGTTACGTAAGTTACTTCATATTTCCGTTCAAAAGGTTTCTTCTTCTCTAAGTCTTGATATGCTTTGCCAAGGGAAAAGCGTGGCCTTGTTCACAATGCAGACTTCAAAACAAAAATTGACCGTCGTTTGAATTAGTTATGTGGCACATCCATCCATCACGGTGGTGCTGCAGCCCTTGTATGGCTTTCGACTCAGACCTAACTGATTCTTTTCTTTCCCATGCTTGGATTCCCAGCCGCTATAGATCACTTTCCACATCCCTCATCCCCTTAAGCCTAGGTGTGCTTTTGAGCCGTTTTCCTCTGGGGTTTTGGTGGGCACCCTCTTCACTCCTCTGTCATTTTGCATCCGTTCTAAGCGTCCCTCCCAGCGTAGCCTGCCCCCCCCCCCTTTTTTTTTTTTTTTTTTTTTACTAGCGTAAGATCCTGATACAGTCTATACAAATTTCATGTTTCGTTCTTATTCACCATCCTTACTCACCATTTGTTGGTCCGTTTACTTTCCGAGTTATGTGACGCAATTGTAATTAACTGTTGTTGAATTTATTTTTTTTATTCATGTCGACTATGAACTTATTGCTGATTGTCTGAACGGCTGAATTAAACGATATTAGGCGACCCCTGGGAAAGGGTCGCGACCCACAGGTTGAGAACCGCTGGCTTAGATGGACATCGTCTATCACGAATATTTTTTGTTTAAATTTAAAGTTACTAAGTTTAATTAACATCGCTTTGTTTATAACGAAAGCGATCATCAATGTCCTCGATACCGATATGATTGAATTATTGTACCATGTGTTAACAAACGATTATACATAAATTCAGTATTCGGTAAGAGATTGCAATTTCTACGAGAATTTCAGCATTGGTTTAGTAAATTATTAATTCTGATTATTTAAAAGTACACATTTTTCCGCGGGGGATGCCTGAAAGAAACACTGCACTGAAAGAGTCTAATGTTAAAAGAATGCCAACAATTATAAGACGATAAAAACATTAGATACACATTTCTTTTTTTTAAATGCGAAGTAACTTATCTCCATGGGAGGTTACGTTAAATCAATTAACTTTAATTATTTAACAAGGTTTTAGTGGGTATCTTTATTATTATTTGTTTTTATTTTTCAAATATTAAAATTCATGCATTATCTTGTTGCTTATTTGGTAATCAGAGTGAAATTAATCGCAATCTATTATAACTACATAAGTCATATATCAATGATGGTCCCTCGGACGCGGGACTAACAGATTGCTAATGATCATCCTAATGTAAACAATCATTTAAAAAAAAAAAATTTTGGATTTGTTTTCAGTATTTTGTTTTGTGTGTAGGCCTAGTATTGAAGTGCCCCAGCTGCTTAAATTCAGAGTCTACCTTGGAGTGGTAAGGGAATACATGGTTCGCTCTTATGATAAAAATGCTAGCTTCCGACCACCTACACGACCACTACCAGACTACCAAAATATAATGTTGGTTCAATGATATTGATATCGAAGTGGCTACTATTCGGACCCAGTTATCTGAAGTGAGAGGTTGGGACTGGGTTTTGACCCTATCGGAACCGGGGTTTGACCCTATCAGAACCAGGGTGCTATCTCTTCACATTAGCCATAAAGGTAATGATTTTATTTACATTAATTCATTAATGTAGGTAGGAGAATATAATGATTTCATTTTCACTATCGAAGTTATTATACGCAGTCGACTGCATATAACTCTTAGGGTTATCCGCAGCCGACTGCAAAAAACTCTCAGTGTTATACGCAGACGGCTTGTCACGTTAGGTCTATAT